TGCATATTATCCTTTTATTATAGAGGATAGAGGATAGGATATTTGAATGTCATATACCTGAAGCTACTATGATGTTATATGTCATATCTTAATTTTAAAATGTGTATTTGATCATGTAACAGGTTTTGTAATAAGGTCACAATTTTCTTTATCATTGTGGATCAGAAGAATACAGAGGCTATGAAGAGTTAGAGGAACGTACATTATCATATTAAATACAGGTGACCTTTGAACAATGAAGTCAGGGGTTCTGAACTCCCACACAGTAGAAAATTAGCATATAACTTCTGTCTACCCAAAAACTTAACTACTAATAGCTTCCTGTTGACCCAAAGTCTTACCAATAACATAAACAGTTGATTAACACTGTATGTGTATTATATACTACACTAGAGGCCTGTTGCACGAAGAGATTCGTGCAATAGGCCTTCCCTTCCCTTGGCTGCTAGCACCGGTTTGCCTCTGGCACCCAGGACCCAGGCCTTTGCTCTGCCGGCCCCGGAACTGTCAGGCTTCGCTCCGCCACTTGGAGCCTATGTATGCAAATTAACTGCCATCTTTGTGGGGTTAATTTGCATACTCTCCTGATTGGCTGGTTAGTGTAGTGAAGGTACAGTCAATTTACATGTTTGTCTATTATTAGGTAAGGTTCTTACAATAAAGATAGAAAAGAAGATCATAAGGAAGAGAACATTTATAGTGTTGTATTATAATACATTGAGCACCATAAAGTTTACAAGATTAATCCTGTCAGTACCTACATCAGTATTGTTTTATATGATACAAAATACTGTATGTTATACATATTACATTAGACAACAAAAATGAAAAGATAATGTGAAAAAGAAATTTACATTTACAGGTATGATTCATGCATTGATAATGAAGCAACAATATTGATTGCTGTATGGTAGTTTAGTGTAATTGATATGATTGCTTCATGGTAGCCTAACCTATACATTAATGCAGTGATGGCGAACCTATGACACGCGTGTCAGAGGTGACACGCGAACTCATTTTTTTGGTTGATTTTTCTTTGTTAAATGGCATTTAAATATATAAAATAAATATCAAAAATATAAGTCTTTGTTTTACTATGGTTGCAAATATCAAAAAATTTCTATATGTGACACGGCACCAGAGTTAAGTTAGGGTTTTTCAAAATGTTGACACTCCGAGCTCAAAAGGTTCGCCATCACTGCACTAATGAATGAACCATTATAAATTTTTCATAGCATATAGTATTACAGTCATAGTTATAATACAGTATTGAAAACATTACATTTTTGAAAAACCACTTACCTGTGATAAGGTGATACCTAGTTTCTCCAACTGTGAGAGATAGAAGCATACTGTATGTTAATGTAATTCTTTGAAAGCAAAGTTATGAAACAGTAAGAAAATGAAAATATTACTAATTTTACACTAAATATCACTCACCTTATGCCTATGTAAGGATAGGCTATCCACCTCAATACAGGTCTTGCACATGATGTCCTTACACAATGAATACCTAGGTGATAACAAAAATGTCTCATACAGTTATTAGATTTTCACATGAAGACAGGCATACACAGAAAGTTCCTTAGCTTTACAGCATGATAATGATTTACTTACTATTCATTAAGTGGAAGAGGATCATCGTGAAAGTCTTCATCCTAGTCTTCATGCTGAGTTTGCTGAGGATGCGGTTGGTCTTGCTCTCTTGGGTGGCAGAAGCAGAAGAGATGGAAGCGGAGGCAGGCACACTCTAACTTTACGGAAATACCTTTATTTTCTGTCTGACTTTTCTGCTTTTTCATTTCTCTAAAAATGTTTCTATTCAGTACCAATCCCTCCACATTTGCTTTACTGTGTCTGTATCATAGAAGGGTTCTTGTCATGAAATAAGTAAAAAGCAGTCTTAAATAATCAGACCCTTCTGCTAGATTGACGCAGGTCAGTTTGCGTTCTGGCACTGCCTCTTCATCTTCCTCTTCCTCTGGCACTGGTTCAGACGCACTCATCTGCATCATGTTGTCTTCTGATGTGATGTCTTTTAGCTCTTGAATTTCTCCAAGATTCTTACCCCCCCACCCTTTTTTTTTTTTTTTTTTTGCAATACCCACAATCTCATGATTTCCTTGTTTGGTTCTCATAAATTCTGTAAAGTCAAGCACATCATTTGGACACAGTTAACAACAGCAGGAATTTATTTTTTTTAAAAATATATTTGATTTTTTACAGAGAGGAAGAGAGAGGGATAGAGAGTCAGAAACATTGATGAGCGAGAACCACCGATCAGCTGCCTCCTGCACACCCCCTACTGGGGATGTGCCCACAACCAAGGTACATGCCCTTGACCGGAATTGAACCCGGGACCCTCCAGTCCGCAGGTCGACGCTCTATCCACTGAGCCAAACCGGTCAGGGCAGGAATTTATTGTTTTGGGCTTGATGGCTTTCATGGCTTTTTCTGTAACAACGATGGCATCTCCAGTGGTGTAATCCTTCTAGACCAGCGGTTCTCAACCTGTGGGTCGCGACCCCTTTGGCGGTCGAACGACCCTTTCACAGGGGTCACCTAAGACCATCCTGCATATCAGATATTTACATTACGATTCATAACAGTAGCAACATTACAGTTATGAAGTAGCAACGAAAATAATTTTATGGTTGGGTCACAACATGAGGAACTGTATTTAAAGGGCCAGAAGGTTGAGAACCACTGTTCTAGACTTTCTATCGGCGTCAACTTCCATAGGGTGATAATCCTTTCCATAGAGTACCATGCATGATACAAAGACTTTAAAGGTCTTTGTGACCCCCTGATCTAGAGGCTGAATTAGAGATGTGTTTGGGGGCAAGCAGATCACTTAGATGCCATTGGTGTTGAAGTCATGGGGTCTGGATGGCCAGGGGCACTGTCCAATATTAAAAGAACTTTAAAAGGCAGTCCCTTACTGGCAAGTTAATTCTTGCCTTTAGGGACAAAGCATCAATGGAACTAATTGAGAAAAAGGGTTCTTGTTGTCCAGGCTTTCTTGTTGACTGAAAGCTGGTATTTATCCTTTCCCTTCAAGGCTCAGGCTTAGCAGCATCATATATAAGGGCACTCCTGATCATAAACCCGCCTGCATTTGCACAGAACAGTAGAGCTAGGCTACCCTTCCTATCTTAACTCCTGGCGCTTGCTTCTCTGCCTTATTAATAAGTGTCCTTTGTGGCTCCCCCCCCCCACCCCCAGATTAGTGCACTTTGACCTGCATTAAAAAACTGTCCAGGCAGATATCCTTTCTCCACAATGATTTTCTGATTAGCATCTAGGAACTTGTGTGCTGCCTCTTGGTCGACAGAAGCTGCTTCTCTGTTAACTTGAGATTTTAAAGCCAAACCTCTTTCTAAAAGTATCTAATCATTCATTGCTGGCATTAAAGTCTCGAGCTTTAGAACCTTCACCTTCCTTTTGCTTTAAATTGTCATATAGTGACTTTGCTTTTTCTCAAATCGTATTAGGTGTGCCTCACATCTATAGGTATGCCTTTCTTAAGCAATCCTGCACCCACATAAAAGCTGCATTTTTAGTACTAGATAAAAGGTGTTTTGCAAAAAGTTCAAGGTCTTCATGCCTGCTGGTATAGTTACAGTGACAGCTTTACAGTTGTTTTTTTTTTTAACACCGATCCTTATAGTGGATTAATTTATCTTGAAATGGCAGCAGTTGCAGCTGCAGAACTCCATCTACAGTACTTATCAAGCAATTTTTCTTGTCATGTCATGTCTTCTCTGCTTCTTGGGAGCACTTTTAGAGGCAGTGCTAGAGGCACTTCGTTTGGCGCCATGGTGTTGTTCAAGGCTTACAGTGCTGCACTAAATATGACAAAAAATACATGAGAACCCTGAGAGATCACTTTTTACTGCAATATGCAATTTACCGGGGAGACGAACTGCTCAGAGATGATTAGCATTTACACAGCATTTTAAGCAGTTACTTGCAACACTTGAGTCCACCACAATAGCAACAGGAGGTGGCTATGAAATTATACAGTAGTACAGTATGTATTACAGTTATTTTACATTTAAAATCATATTTTACAGTTATTAAATACTGCATCTGTAGGTTTACATTTCTCTCAACTGCGAATGGCACTGTGTATGGTCTGTATTAGTGCATAAGTTTTGGTAAATTTTAATTTTTTAAAATATATTTTTATTGATTTCAGAGAGGAAAGGAGAGGGTGAGAGAGAGAGAGAGAAACCATCAATGATGAGAGAGAATCATTGATCGGTTGCCTCCTATATGCTCCCCACTGAGGATTGAGCCTGCAACCCAGGCATGTTCCCTGACCGAGAATCGAACCATGACCTCCTGGTTCATAGGTCAACCACTGAGCCATGCCGGCCAGGCGAAAAGCTATATTTAAAACTGATATATATATATATATATATATATATATATATATATCTTGACCTTAGTTTTCACTACAGATATACATAAAGAAAAAAACTAGAAAGAAA